CAGCCCCTGCGATGTGCTGCAGCGCTCCCTTGCCATGCGCTTCACCCAAGCCCATGCAAACTGCTCCTTGCCACCGTCAGCAGGACAGAAGGTCCTGTACAACTCACCACTGTGAAGGATAGGAAGGCAATTGCTGCTGAATGGCCAGCAAAGGGTGGGGATGTGGCTCCCCCAAGAGAGGAAGATCTCAGAAAGCTGCAGGCTGGAGCTCCACAGATGAAAACATCACCCGACCCTCAGTGGTCTCTGATTGTACAAGACTGCTTTAAAAACTCTTGCAAATAAGCAGCGCTTACAAACTGAATTAGAAATACAGAAGGAAGCATACACTATATAATGTTTTTGACTAAAGTTTTGCCCAGAAGTCTCAGCTGGAAGTGTGTGCAGTCAGAACTTTGTGGTGCGAGTAAACACAAACAGAATCCGGCCATGAGCTGCAAAAAGCTGAGAAAGTTTATTCTTCAGTTTCTATGAAGAAAGAAAACACAACTTCAAGCTGTTATACAATACAAGGTTAAAAAAAAGAGTATCAGAAAATGAGAAAGAGAAGGAAAGAGAAGCAGGTACTTGATCTATCTCTTTGTTGTGAGGGGACCCTTTTCTACAGAGCAGCTTCCAGGTTTTCTACCTGCAGGGAAAAAAATGACACTGAAAGTACAGCTCATAATAGGAAAAAGAAATAATCAATATCATACCCTCACACGAGTAGGAACACCTGCTCTTACCGCTTCTAAGAGCGCAGCATGCCAGCAGATTGCTCTCCACTGACCTGCATTGCCTATCCTGCAATTGAGGGGAGGAAGGAAGGGAATTTTCAGTGACAGAGCACCTCACCTAGAGACCTGGCTTCTTCACCTGCTCCTAGAGGCACCCACCTGAATCCTAGACAAAATGAGAGAGAGATGAAACTACCAACTCATGTTGAGAAAACCCATGGCCTGCTATGGAACCATGATCCCTGGCAGGAATAAGTTTCCATGGGTTGGGCCCCTAATGAGGTAAAAACTAAAGATTTCTTACCTCCTTAAATGCCACAGTCCATGCTCAAGTGTGCTCAGCATAATAGAAACCAAGGAGGAATAATCCTCTACTTCAGCTCCAGATTTGTCCCATTCTACCACAGCCACAGGCAGAATAATTAAACATTCTCAGCATTTGGAGATTCATGGAAAGCAGTGATGAACATACTGTCATTCAACCACACCATTTCAGAAGACCACAGGATTTTCCAGGTCCAAACCCCAGCACCACAGCAGACTGTCTCGTCAGCTGCTGAACTTCATGTGTATTCCAATGACCAAGGCAAGTTTTTGTGCTGAATGAGAACAAGGGTTTTCTTCTTTGTTCTGTGATGATTTTGGTGCTCGGTCACTACGTATAGTACAGTCATCAGCCTCTGACATCGAAGGCTAGGAATCCTCAAATCCTTTACTGAGGCAGCTTTAGAAATTCAGGAAGTCCAGAGGAATGCTGCAGGCACAAACTAGGATCATCTCAAAAGTGACTGAAGTTATGGGGTCCAATTAATCTATACCATGAAAACCCACATATCTTCAAGGTAGGTAGCTCATCTTCTGCAAGGAACACACCCAAGAAATGCTATGCAAATCTACAGGCAGGAGATAAATCCAGTTGAAGGAGCAGATGACAGCTCTAAGGTTGTTATTACTGTTAACCAACAGCAGCTTTTGGAAGAGATGTGGAGCATATGGGGAATACCGATTGTTCTACATCCTCAGTTCATACTGTTTTGTACTGCACTGCCATCTGAGGGTGCCTCTAGAGATTGACTGATCCCTTTCTCCAATGTGACTACAATAAGTTAAGGGTGTTTCACATGTGAGAGGTCAGGTGTCTCCTCAAATATCCATGTTTGCCTGGTACATTTTCCCAGCTTTGTTTAGTAGCAACACTTGAATTTTCATTTGGGTCCACAATGGGTGTCTTGGGAAGCCCTAATGCAGACATGTACCATGGACCCTTCTCCAGCTACCTTGCGTTCTAGGTGCCTCACCAAAATCTGAGCCACATCAGCTTTGACACATTTAATATTCTTCCAGCAAATTCAACACAGAACAGACAATACCCCTGGAAGCCGAGTAAGTCATATCCTACCCTATCATCTCAAAAAAGCACACGCTGGTTAGAAAACATGCCCTAATGAATCAGCTTATGCTAAGGTGCCAGGATTATACCTAACAGCCTGAAATGCTACGTCACCTGCCGCGTTCCTATGAGACTTTATATTGAATATTGAACTGGTGTGCTGCTACTGTAAAGGTCCTTCATACATTTTACCTGCTCTAGAATGGGTACTCCAGGCAAAACTGTCAAGTCATTACTCAGGTATCAATATTCCTACCATGCATCATTCATTTGTATGGAGTAGTCTTACCCCCATTTCTATTCCTCAACCTTTCTGTTACTGAGGAATTTCCATCCCTCAACATTTTTCATGAGTCCTAAAAGGTAATCAATACCTTTGCTGGTTTTCAGTGAAATACGCAAGAACTCTTACAGCAAAAGTTAGGTATGTTTTCAAGATAGGCAATACTTTATCATTAACATCATGGATGATGGTATTGATCTCTTAGTCATCAAGTAAACCCCTCCATCTTGTATTCTTGGGAAACAAATCTACCACTGAAAAGCCAAACATGCAGTTCTGTGGGCTATATTGAATCCCAAATAAGAAATATTTTTGCAGGTACATTTTTCTAGAGATCTGTATTGTAGAAGACCATATATTATCCCTAGGAAGAGCAACCCTAAATTTGCCTGTATAGTCAACACAGAACAGCTGTAGCAAATCCTGTATTTGAACATTAGTGTAAAACTTTTGAGACTATTCATTATTGTGAGCATTTTTATCCAAATTGAGTTTTCACACAAGAAGCACGTACAGGCACTTATCTTGCATCAGGTGTTGCAGTTCACCGGGAAACGTGCATGAAAAATTCAAAGTGTTTAGTTTTGTCTGTTTGGTTTTTTTACTTTACATCAATTCTCAACCAGTAGTGCCTTAGAGCTCAGAAGCCATCAGCAACTCCATCTTTCTAAGAAGGGTTTTAAAAAATGAAAATATTAAAGCTCAGTTTTACCTAGTGTTCCTGATGATACTGCTTGGTTAAAAAACATTACTTTAGTCCAGACTTAACTGAAGACTCTTCTTTTCCTGTATTCTTTCACAGCTCATTCCAGTTCAAGATACACGTCCAAGACAGATGGGCTAAATAGCCCTCTGGACACATACATCTCTTTCAACTGACTATGTGCAGCCGGCTTAGTTTTCCAGTGAATACAGTAAGACAAGACTAAACTCACCATAACATTTGATCAAAATATATCATGCACAACAGTGACACGGGGTTTTTGTAGGTTGCCTGCTTGAGCAGTTTGTAGGTCATATCCTTATTTGGTTTGTATACATGGTTTTTACACATTTTTGAAACAATTATACAATCTCAAAATCTTCTGTTTGGAAAAATAAAAGTAAAAATTAAAAAAAAACCCATAAAGCATACTTATAATTAAGCTTAAATTGAATACATGTCAAATTAGAACTTTGTGGTATGTATGCTTGACCTTAAGCATCTGAGCAGCCTATTGACAGTGAGAGGATGACGTAGGTCTACCTGTAAAGTTAAGGCTGCTCTTAAGAACTTTCTAGTTTTAGTCAAAACCTTTTCTGGTTTTGTTGGTATGTACAATCAGAGGCACCTATAACACAGACCTTCTAAATGGTTGGACAATGAATTCACCTTTTAATTGAGCTGGATTTTATGTGTCCAGAAAGGAAAAAGAAGAACACATGTAAAGAAGTTTTACAACTACCAAAAACAATTGCACTGTGTAAGAGGGACCACGAGTCAGACATTTCTCAAGTGTCTATCTGTACTGTAAGAAACGCTTGCCTTTATGCCTAAGCTTTTAATGAAGGAAGAAAATCTTATTCAAATGGGCAGGCATCCTAACATAGTTGAAAATACCTGTATGAGTGACAAATATTTCTGTAAGAAAATGGGCCCTTCTTTCAGAGTGCTTTTAATTTAAGTAGTAAAGTGTCTCTAAAAACCTGGGGAAAAACAGGACTTCCATTTCTGTGAAAGCATGTTTAATTTTGAAACATATAAAGATGTAAGAATTCAAGAGAAAATGGTAGCTAGTTTAAATATGAATTGTATTAATGAGAAGAGGGCAAGAATCTTGTCTTCTAAGTGGTTATGACTCACACCTTCCAATTATAGCATGCATAAATCAAACTTCAGTAAAGAAGAATATCAAGCATCCTCTGGATGGAAGAAATTCAGATACTTGGTGAACCAGTAGCTGATTAACAGGCACTAGACCTCATCTTGTGAAAAAAACAGTGAGCCTTAGTCTTTTCTCATTTACCCTGCTGTAAAACACAAGTAATTCTGCTGCTGCCAATGAAGTTACTTTACCGTTGAAACCGGTATGAGGGCAGAATCAATCAAAAAATGTCTATGAATTCCAGTTTCTGACTTCATTCCGCTTTCAAAAAAAAAAACAAACCTATGGTTTTAAACGTAAAATAAACACAACTCCATACACCTAAAAAAAAAACCAAACTAAAAGTCCATTCCCAAAGACATATACTTAAAAAAAAAATAAAAAAACCTCCCAAATCTCAAAGCTCTGAAGTGCAGTCACTGAAGTGCCAAAGCATAGTTTGCATTTGCTCAGCAGCAGCAGGGCAGAATGATGCAACCTGCAATGGAGCACGTTCCTCCTCCCCCTCTAGCCTGCTAGCATGCTGCTCTGTGTCTTAGAGGCTGTAGGGACCTTGCAGAACTCCTGTTTGTTGCAAGGGCTGCCAGAGCTGCCCCATGGATCTTTTGGATTGCACAAAAGCTTTTGGGAATTGCAGAGAACGCTGGAAAATACAAGCTGTGCCTCGCCAGCAAGTAGAGAGTAGTTCAGATCAAGTGCTGTGTTTCAGAGGACTTATCAAGAATTTAGAGGAAAGGGGACAGCAGCTATAGGGCAACCTCTGAAATGTCAGTAGGGGAAAGAGATAACTGGCAACCTTAAAGAAAAAGGGGTTTATACCTAAAAAAGCATAAAGTAAGAGGCTGTTTTTCCTGGAGGACTTCTGCAGGTGAGGCAGGAACAAAGGTGGGACCTATACAGCTGAGGAAGCAAACTGCAATGGGTGAAGGGGGGAATTTTCACAATGAATAGCTCTACCATGAGAGGTTTCTTTTTTTTGTTGTTGTTTTTTGTTGAATAGCTGAATAGCTGTTGAATTAGTGGGAATTTTGTTCTGCCTCAGTCTTATTTTGTGCTACTCTATTTCTTGCAGAACCTATAACTGCATCCATCCTTAGCTTATATTGATGAGATTTTGCTTTCTTTTGTGCATGTTATCTATAACCTCTGTTCCTTTAGGCTTCATTACACACATATTTTGCAAGAAACTGTATCAGTGAAGCACAGGACAGAGGAATTTGCAATGAGAGTAGGATTTTGAACGCAAAGAGTGGCTGGGTCCAGGGCTGACTGAACACTGCCAACACCAACTCCAGCACAGCCCTGTTTACATAGAGCACTGACTCCCAAACCTTTTGACCCCTGGGATATTATCAGTCCTCAAACCTCCTTGTATAGCCAGATCTAGCTGATAAATATCATGATCACGGTTACTCCTGAACATGCCTAGCTGTAAACCACTTACCATCAATGATGTTAAAAAATTATTTTCCTTAAACTAGTCTTACTTCTCACTTCCAAATACTGATACCACACACAGTGCAGCTGCACTGCAGCTCTACAGGCTCCCAGTCTGTGGATTTGCACTGTAGAGGAATTGTTTGCAGTGACTTTGACCTGACTGGAACTGAAGATGGTTCTACTATTGGAAATGACATCCCAAGACTACTGCTCTCTGGGCTCAGAGAGACAGACATGCACACAGAGGAAACACTCACCAGTCTCAGGAGAAGTTGTCTTCACAGAAAGAAGTTTGACTCCTTCTTTATCTGATTGGGCCCTGTTGAAATCAGAAAACACTTAAGCAGACAGTCAGCATGCAACTCAGCATGCACGTTGGTTAGCCAAACAAAACTCTAAGATTATGATCTGGAAGAGGCAGCACCTATGCCAGTCTACACTGCAGGCTTGAAATGGGCTTTGCATGGGATCCCGCATAAGTCTTGGTGGTGGAAAACACCATATACCAATATCTCTGAAAACACCTTTCTCTTAAAATATGTAATAAATCAAGTTGCATAACTCCAGGTTCAATCTAGTGCTCCACAGAAGTACATCGGGGGGGAAAAGAGGGAGTAATCTTTTTTCTCTGTCAATACAAGGCTTTTAGCCACATTGAATTGCAAGAAGGACCACTTCAGATGTCCAGGGAGTCGGGGCTAGCAAGTAAATCAGCAGCCCAAATGTTGCTTTTGGTCATAAAAAACATAGAGGCCACAGCCAGACCAAATGGCCTCTAGTATATATCTTCTAATGGATCTTTCTTGGTTTCACTCTCCTGAAACTCCTTAGGCCAATAGTTTTAACTGAGCCTCTACAAATAGACTAGTGGAGAGAAGATGGGACAGAGGAAAATGAAATAATGGGGGACACAAGAAAAAGAAAAATAATCCAGAATAAAAAGCATTAAAAAGAGAGAAAACATGAACAAAAGAAAGGGGATGGGAAAAGATAGGGGGAAAAAACAATCAATGGGGCAAAAATTGAAAAAAAAAGAGAAAAAAGGCGGAGCCAATTGGCCCTGTGGCAAAGCATAAGCTGTTTATCTGTTTCAAAAGGATCCCCTGCAAAACAATGGCGAGCCATCACATTTCTATCTGTGCTGGAACAGCTGCTTATCATGCATACAGGTGTACAATAACTGCAAGCACATCACTTTCAACAGGATATTTCTCTGTTATTTTATACATAAAAATTTAATTTAATATAAAATATTATGTTTAAACAGAGAAAGATCAAAGAAAATCTCAAGCAGAATCTGCTGCATTCACAAGTGCCCCACAAAAGATCTCAAAGCAACGAAAAGACAGGATTCAACCTACTGTTCAGTGCCGTTCTCTTGTCTCTCTGGAAGAAGGAAGAAAGTTAATATCATTTTGACTGCTGGAGCTCAGTTAAGAAAACATGTAGACATAGCTATTGCAGTTGCTAGCAGAAGGCTTAGTTGTGATTTTGCAGTGTTGCATTAAGTACATTAACACAATCCGCCACCCTGAATGGCAATTGGTACTTTTCTAGTTCATCTTCCCAAAAAATAACCATGTCATCTATGAAAGTGACCTGATATCGCTCACATCAATACTTCTGGAAACTAGATATGTGCCTTGGACAAGAGCACAACAGAAGTGCATTTTTCCCTGCAGCTCCCAAATCCCTGGGTAGCTGGCACAGAGGAGGCGAGGATGCAACAGTTCTCAAGCACATAACAACTGAGCTAAAAGATACAGGGTGAGGGGAGAGAGTGAACAAGCTGCCAGACTGTACGCTCTGGCGGGGATTTAACCTGGCATGACATCTGAGAACAGAGTCTGTCATGCCCGCTGATGTGGAAGGGGTTTCTCCCCAAAATGAATCATATACCAAACATATTTTATTCTTATGTGCAAGTACAGGCAGATGGATGGGGTTGAGGGGTTACACCGGAGGCATGGATCCAATTCTAGCCCCATCGCACTGGGCAGAGTGCTCTCCATCCACGGGGGAAGCACACTAGATAGACCTGAATAAATCCTGCAGGAAGCACCACAGATACTGATCTACTCAAGCTTCCAAGTGAATTTGCTAGTACTGTGCCTGCTGGCATTTGTGCATGGGGGAGGCTGGTGAGGAAAAGTTCTTCACCTCATATCTTTACATCTTGACTCCAAATATTCAGTGATATCCTAAGCAAGGATTATACCTTCCTCTGTTTATCTGGGTCTGGTTTTCCATGTCATTGGCTAAATTGGTTACGACCCAGTTTGCCTTGGTCTACAGGCTCGACACCCTGTTGTGATTTTATATATCCAAGGCCTGGTGATTTCACAGTTGAAGCTCTGCACAGGTCTCCTAACTCATGCCAGCTCGCAGGGAGAGAAAAACCACAGTCTGGATTCAGATCTGGGTTTTCACTTCATGGAGAATTACACTTGCCTGTGGCCCACTAGGGCAACTCTTTGAAACATTTGGCAAATGGAATTTAATGGAATTACACCCCTATTTTCTTAAGTATTTCACGGACAGCAGTGAAACAGATACTGGCTTTAGCTGATCTGTCAAAATGACTGTTTCTGAAAATACTGTCTGCTCAGGGATTTTGTGTTCATGTGCATTATACTGTAACTGGAAAATTTTACTTCTATATGTAGGTATGTGTGTGTGTGTATGTATATATGAGGTATTTCCTAAAAGGAAGCATTAATATTTCTTTGCCTGTATCTAGAACAGAGACAAAATAAACATAGTGATTTTGTTAAACAATATCTCCAAACTTCGTTTTCACTGTCTTTTTCTACCTGATTGACTGGTTGTGTTAGCACAGCTGTTTGTTAGCTCTTTGTAGCTGCAAGAGTGTGAACAAAAAGCTTTATGGCTTTACATATTCTCCAAAAATCAGAGACATTTTTGCTCCCTCTGTTCTTCCTACTGATTTTGAAAATGAAGTGTTACTTTCCCACTTTAGGCAAAATACTTTGAAATACGAGAAACTTTCCTATCTATGGTTAAGGTAATCTAAAAAGACCCCAGAGATCTTTTAATAATAAAAAGCACATTGATCTTTTTCCCCCCACAGAGAAAGCAAACCAAATACCTGGAGTTTTCTTCTGGCACATTCTGTACAAAGCCACCAGTGAGAAGACAGAAAGGGTAATGACTATCAAGGTGATGACAATTGGCAAGGTAACGCCTGCAAAAGAGGGAGAACATAGTGTCAGTTTGGGGGCCAGTGTTGATGGCCCCCAAAGGTTTTGCAAAACAGTCATGTTTCAGGAATAAATTTTTAATATATGCATTTTTTTCCCTCTTTTTTGAAAACAAGACTCATCTGAAATTCAGCAACTGAAGCGATTATTTCTCTTTTTAACACTGTATGCCCAGAAAGACACCAAGGAGTTACATAATTCAGTAACATTCCCCACAGCACTTACAACCAGGGATAGAAAATGCAAGATATCCTTTTTAAATGAGGACATTTCTTTCCTTTTATTATTTCCCACCATCTGCCATTTCCTGACAGGTGTTTCCCAGCCAAGAAGCAAAAAGGAAAGAATTATGTAACGAAGAGAAGCTTTCCTGGGGAAATATATAAGCCCATTTTCTCCCCATTTATCTTTTTTCTGGCAGCGATTGGCCACACTCAAATTTAGCAGGCGCTCTCTCGCCTGCTGGCCTAAGCCCTGTGTCAGGGGAGGCTGTGACTGCATTCCTCCACAGGGGAGGCTGTGACTTCATTCCTGCAGCTTTCCTCAGCGTCAGCCATCATGCCTGCCTGATATTTAGAAATAGCATCTTCGATGGCTCTTGATGCAATTAATATTTAGTATTCATATAGATGTGTGTATTCATCTATGAAACTAGAGGAAGAACCCAGAGACAAGATTACAGTGGAAAAACATCAAACATATTTTGCTAAGCCAGTACTTTGGGTAGCTGTCATGGTTTAGCCCCAGCCAGCAACTAAGCACCACGCAGCCGCTCGCTCACTCCCCCTACCCCGATGGGATGGGGGAGAGAATTGGAGGAGTAAGAGTGAGAAACACTCCTGGGTTGAGATAAGAACAGTTTAATATTTGAAATAAAATAAAAACAATAATTATATGAATAACAATATAATAATGATAATAATAATAATATACAAAGCAAGTGATGCACAACGCAATTGCTCACCACCTGCCAACCAATACCCAGACAGTTCCCGAGCAGCGATCGCTGCCCCCCAGCCAGCTCCCCCCAGTTTCTATACTGAGCATGACGGCATATGGTATGGAATAGCCCTTTGGTCAGTTTGGATCAACTATTCTGGCTGTGCCCTCTCCCAGTTTCTTGTGCACCTGGCAGAGCATGGGAAGCTGAAAAGTCCTTGACTAGCATAAGCACTACTTAGCAACAACTAAAACATCAGCGTGTTACCAACATTATTCTCAAACTAAATCCAAAACACAGCACTATGCCTGCTACTAGGAAGAAAATTAACTCTATTTCAGCTGAAACCAGGACAGTAGGAAATAGCAGATCTGCAGCAACACTCTTGCCCTAGAGATGCATAATATTAAAATAAAAGATTAAGTAACGTGCATCATGCAAATATCAAGTGCTTGAAGAGCTTGCAGAAGACTCCCTCCTAGTCCTTCTCTCCCATGACAATACAAACAATATATTCATATAATTCATACATAACAATATTTTCATATAATATGTACTCATAATGGTATATGAACAACATTTTCATATGTTTTCTTGTGTCTTCTCCCACAGGGGATGACTCTGTTCACATTTTTTTCAGTTTTATCACTTTGACTTCAGTCCTTGGGATTAAATGTGCTGCTCTCCAGTGAAAGTGGTGTCAACTTGTTAAGCTCTGTTTCTCTTTGAAAGGAGTTTTATAACAGGCAGTTAAATTGGTTTTGTAATAGGGTCTACATCTGGTAAGGCTAGAAATAAAACTGCCAGTTTCATTTCTCTGCTACTCCAATCACTCATCGAAAGCCAAACTGATCAACTGAAAACTCAAAAGCTGGACAATAAAGCAGGAACACTCACTAGAATAGTGGATAGCACTTGCTGGCGCTTCCTTATTTCCAGGACTGCTTCTAGGGCTGTCAGAAGCTAGATTTGCAAAAGAAAGATTGTTAGGTTAACATCTAATTGCCAGAACTCTCCAAACAACTCCCCCTGAAAAATTACCCTCCCAAAACAACTTCTGTGTCCTCAGTTCTGGAGCCATTTGGTGCTCCACAGCTATAGCTCTCAATAATACCTGGATAACTTGGCAAGAGGGGTTAGGGATGTCCACTTACAGGTTATGAACTACAAACTTTTTCACTTTTAGGAGGTTAAGGTACTGTTCAGTATTAGAAGAGATCTCTTGACAAGCAAATAAACAAGCAAGAGAGTGAAAATTAGATGTGCCTCCAAAAGAAGAAAGACCAAAATTTTTCACTGCTAATTAAAAAAAAAGTGCTAATAGTAGATGAAGAAGTCTAAAGAGCTGCACTATTAGTAGCTAGTGATTTTCTTGACAGTTGAGTGTTACAAAGGGATGTGTGTGCTCTCTCTGTCACATTTGGGGACAGCAATGACCGTTGGGAGCCTCTGAGCATTTTTTAGGGCAGGGTTTAAAGGAATACATTTCTACTTTCAGATGCTAATCTGAATGTGAGTCAGGTATCAACAACCCAAGATATTTATTACCTTGTTGCACACAGCCTGTGGAAAAACAATCACTGAACTTCAAGAGAAAAAAAAGAAAAGGCAAACATTGGTGCTTCCCTAGTTATGTTATACAGCACACTGGTTTATATTCCGTATTGGATGGAGGCTTGAGTAGATGTGTGCTTACTGCCACTGAAGAAGCTGACCAGCTGGACAAATGGATAGCTAGATGCCTAGCATCGAAGTTATAATGCAAAGCTGAGCATTTCCATTGCTCATTTAAATATCAGAAATGGCCCTCAAACAAAAGTGCCTGGGGAAGGTGGTCTGTTAAGCAGGGAGCCTAGCAGAGAGTATAGCTCTGTATATAAGTAGTGAGAACATGGTAGCAGCCTCTGAGGCTCTGTTGCAGGCTCTGATCCATTGCTCAGGTACCCCTTCATACCCCATACACCTGTAGAGATGCACAGAAGAGGGCTCAACTTGATGGGTAGAAACTACAAAATCAGCTGGGTCATTAAAACCAATCCCCCAGGGCCATTTTGAGGGCTAGAATACAATTTTGTTCTGCTAGGTCTCTGAATTATCTGGTCCATCTTTTTTACAGATGGATTTTTTACTTTTTTGTATAGGCAGCACATGTATCTAGTTTGCTGAATTAGAGTAAGAAACAAGGCTGCTTTGTCCCAACCCTGTAGGCGCTCCTTGCTGCACTGATTTTAAAAACTCAGGCCCACTATTGATAAATGTTTTGGTGATTGTTTTTTCTCCACTATTCTCCTTTTGCCCATATTCCCATTCTCACAACATACCGGTCTGTTCAGATATGTAAGAGTATGTTGCCTCCTGATGCAAGTAAAGCAGGCAACAGCCAGAGGCCAGTTTCTCCACAGGGTTGCTGGATATGCCAATATACTAGATTTCCCAGGTAACTAGTAGCCACATGGTCCTACTTAAAAATGTATGTGGATTGACTGGTAGTGCAAGGGGTAAGATTCAAGAGCTGTGTTTTCATTGTTGTTCTGCTGTTGTGTAGCTGTGTGAATTTTTGGCAGATTGTTTAGCTTCTCTGTTTCCTTTCCTTTCCTGCCCCCCTCTTCCCCGCCAGCCCCCCTTTCATTTGTCTGGCCAGAGACTGAAACCTCCTGGGGAAAAATGATCACTTACTGTGTGCTTGTGTGGTACCTAAACAATACAGCCACAGCTGAGACATTCTGATGCTATAGCATAGGAAACAATCATTGTCTGAAACCCTTAACTCTGAAAAATCACTATGTTTCTTTAAAGCAGAAGTTCTCATTCCGTGGTGCCTGTCTGCTGAGGGGTGATAATGTAAAGATGGAAACTGTGAGCCACAATCAAGTGACTGAAATAATTCTTATGAATTCGTAATTCCATGTGATTGCTTTAGATTTCCCAGGGAAATACTACTGCCCTTTCACTACCTTACCTGGTATACTGCATGATATACAGGGCAAGCGGGCAATTATCACAGTAATGAGTTATCCTGGATACTGACTGAAAATGTCAACAGAAACAAATTACACTGAAAAACATGAATGTGTATCCCTGCATTTGTGCAGCACCTCCTCAGGAGAAAAACTGAGGATTCAAATTCACTGGTTATTTTCCTAGTTCTCTGTTAAATGGCCAAGGTATGAGTAATGCAGGAAAGACAAATCCATAGGTTACCATTTTAACTACTTGAGACCATCAATGAGAAATACAGTAGCTAAAAAGAAGCACTACTGAATGAATAAAATGGATTAAGGAATTAAAACCTTTAACTCAGTTATCCACTTCATTCACTGAAGTTTCTCACAAGCCAGCCCATCATGTCTACTTTCTCTGGATCTGGAAAGTGAACCTGGAAGATATGTTCCAGCTATGGAATGATCTGGGATCAGAATAACAATTGGAATAATACATCCATCATGGTAACAGGAGGGACAAACTTTTGCTGGCAGCAGCAGCAAGAACTGCAGGTACCAGTACAGAAGAGACTGTTTCCTGATAAGCCCAGAGAAAGGAAAATAGGACAATACAGGTTCACTAGCACAGGAAACTCTTGCTTTACTCTGGGACCTACTGCTTCTTACCACAGGACAGGGAATGAGAGCCACCAACAAGAACGAGCTCCTTGGTAAACACTATATTTATATAAACTTCCCATTACATCACGCAAAAAAACAGGCTTGATTTTTTTTTGTGATCCCACCCTGTTTTCTTTCCAGTATCTGCTAGTCCAACATAGCATTGAGCTGAAATCACAGCAAAGTTACTCATTGCTATGAGTTGAGCGTCACTCCACTGCTTCTCTGTACTATGCTTCAGGTTCATTCTTCCCCCAGATCCTCCTTGTTCCCTGAACATCTCCTTTCCTTTGGCTGCCCCCCTCCCACCCCACACCAGCCTTTTTTGCCAGTGTGCACAGAGCTCTTACTTGTCCATGTTGTCGAGGAGCTCACGTGAAGGCCTGCAGTAAAACAGAAGGAACAAGTTTGTTAGTAACTGGTTTAAGGTTACATGCCCAGAGTCTTCACACCATGCAAACCGGCAAACTCCAGCAACGCGCTCAGTAACCCCACAAGAAATGCTGACCCAGAACTGACACGCTGACACTGTTCCCAAGCCCAGAAGGCCTGAGCTCTGAAAGTCTGCAGACATCCCTTATAGATGGGACCAGAATCCAAAGCACAGCCTACGCTGGGTTGTTATTCTGCTTAAGAGAAGAAAATCCTGAATTAATTGATACATTCCTAAAAAATCCCTCCTGCCAAAACCAAATAAGTGCCTGGGAGTGAATAGCTGGCATTTAACTGACAAATAAGTGTTTTAATAAAAGAACCTCAAATGCCTAATTGAGACATGTCTTCAAGTGTCACAAAAACCTTTAAAAATGAATCTTCATTAATTATCTTGGTGTTTTTGGCTAGCAGGCTGCTGAGCAGCAGGAGTAAGAGGCATTGGTAATGAGGAAGAAATGGACCTTGCAGAGCACTGTGAACAGTGCTTACTGGCCCACTACTGTCAGCTTCCCCTGCCACTTCACAAGTTTTTGGTGCAGAGCACTAATTTTTTTGTTAGCCTTTTGTTAGTATGCTGCTGCTTTTGTGTGTCTAGACTGTAGCATGCTTGGAAATTAAGGCGGCTGTGAATACTTCACATTTGGAGGCTAGCCACAGACAACCATCGCTCCCACAGTGATTTTTATTACATTGCATTAAATCTCTTCTGCGATCACTCTAAAGTCAAAGGGAGCCAGGCACCTAACTCGTCCATGTCTTTGAGAATATCCACCTGTGTGAACTGGCAGTAAAACATTTATCTGTTTGTACAAGACAGGCTGTGTCTTGCCAGGGGCGAGTGACTGGCACTCTGCCTGTCTGGTGAGGCCTCTCACACTGGATTAGTGGAGCTACCATGGAAAAAAATCCCTCAGGCCCTATATCCTCAGCAGTCACTCATTATTTTGAGGTATAAATCACAGCGTTTGGTCACCTTCCTCTAGGCTGGAGAGCACCATAAAAGCCCCCTCTCGTTGGGTCTCTTCAGGGTTCACCACTGCCGCAGCATCTGTGGGAAATGTGGTCAATCTGACCCTGTCCCACCTCCATGCCCCATCTGTGCCGGGCTGGGAGACCGCAGAGGGAGTGGCGTGAAGGCAGCCGTAACTCCAGGGAGGCACTGAGTCTCTCCCCTGCACGCCCAGGGTTGCAGCACTCGTCCTCCAAGCCGGGTCCCCAGGGAGTACAAATCCACTCCTATGCCCTCGCTGCACTTTCTGTGCTGTGGACTGATGCTCTACACAACGACAGCTCCTACCACTGGAGCTGTAACAGGAGTGAAGCACATTATTCTACTGCTGTGAATGTACTCTTTGAAAATCAGAATGGCTGCTCTTGTTTTTCCTCCTCTCTACACCCAGTTAAAAACATGCATCACTTGAGCCACTGGGTGCAAATAACCACTTTTGCTAATGATACATGTGACAGAGCTTTAACTGCATTTTAATCACAAACATGCATGAAAAGCACATTCAGGTTGAAAAGCCAAGTACTTAAAAGACAGCGGTAAGAGCTTTTCTTGAATGTACTAAATATTAGTAATGCTAATTACTCTGAAGTTATACAGGTATCTCACCCTGGCTTCCTAGGATCCAGGAGAGACTTTTTTCCTAAGCTTTTTATCATCATCAATCTATCTGCAAAAAGCAGTGTCACCTTGCTCAGAGAGGATCTCTATGATGATTCATTAGGCAATGTTTATAGCATGTTTGGGCAACATTAACGACAAGAGCCAAGGAAAAGCTTTTGGGAAGTTAATAACTCTCCTGTCAAAGGAGGTTTGGAACAACACACAGTACAGAACACAGCAGGACACATTCCTGGCATTAAGGAAACATCCACATATGTTACCCGAATACTGTCTTTCCTTCAGCCTATAAGGAGTCAGATCCCATGGAAAAAATACCATGTGATCGCATAGCAATGGTTGAGCAAGCAAACAGTAAAGCCCTCTGTGTGCATTTTCTTGGAGAAAGACAAAAGACCTTGTCAAGTCTTACAAATAGGTCACTTCTCTATGAAACTTCAAGCCTTGTCTCCCAAACCTGAGGAGAACTGAGCTTTCCTAAGAACCCCGCCAAGATCATAACATAATTATACATTTTCCCTTAACTTCACTCTTGCAAAAAAAGTGAACCATCTTGGCTCAAATTAGAGCAAATAAATAGAAAAAGCATGTCAAGCCAGAGACTGATATCCAGGTTCACCCCAAATACCTAAGGTTTGTCAAAGCTGTATGCAGGTGACATAGGCTCTGTGAACAGGAAGAGTCGGGTGACCTGTGAGTCAGTACCCACAGGCACAGCCAAAACCCACACTGCTGTCCCAGCCAGACCTCGCCACTTCAGTAAACCCAGGCATGATCCCAGGTGGGAAACATGACAGCAGCCCCCTGCCCTTCCTTCAAGGACTAGCAGGAGCCTCCTGAGCCTTTGTTATTTTTTAAAAACTGCACACATCTACACACAATAAAATTACAAGCATCTTTCCCAAAGATATCTCACCCAGATTTTGTCAGAGCATGAAAAATGAAATAGGAAAAATCTCATGCCCTTCTCTCTCCCCCCCCATCTCCAGTATGCAAGCAAGGTGCCAGCTCACCCTCTGTTCAGAGATTGCTCAGCCCTGCCAACAAACAAAGCTGTGCTTATCGGAGCAGTACAGCAGGTACTTTCAGTTTGCATTTTCTAAATAACCATCCAGTGCCCTTTTTGGTGGTGGGGTCACATGTTGCTGTTCTACAGAAAGAGAAGGACAGAAGGAAAGGCAGGATTTCACTTGCAAACATAGTTACTGTAGTTGTTCTAGCTGCCTGTTCAGAGCTTACCACATCCTTTGGTGCTGCGAGTTAGGGGGCAGATGCTCTGCATAAATAATCTGGGAAGATTTCCAGATTCATCATGAAAAGTGAGGTGTGCAACACTGGCTGTGCCGAGTCCTTGTTGTGCAGTAAGGAGGACAAGGATAAAAAATTTGGCACATGACGGTGGTTTGATTTGAAAATACCTGCCTGAATCAGTTCGGCACTGGTTAGAAGCTTGACAGATGGAGAAAGAGACTAATAACTAACATCTCCTCGCTCTGTTCATCAACGACTACTACCTAAGCAGCCTGGATACCCTGCAGTTTGCTGCTTCTGTTTTTGGAGGGCCGCCACATGAAACTGTGTTCACTAGCAAAATAAACGAATAAATTTGGCTGATTACTCAGAGGGGATACCAGAATATAAATCAAAGCAAAATTAAGAACTTTAAAAAACCTTCCTTGCCCTGACCATGCTATAGATCTGCAATTGTGTTAACTGAGGCTTTGCTATATTTTCCATTTCCCAGGCACTTTGATTTTTGTGTGTGTCTCTTTGCAAAGAAGCTGAAGATATGGTGGGTAATTTTTACCTAATATCACTATCCAGAGTTCCTACACAGTTTGCGTACAGAAAGAGTCAAACCCTCCTTGTCTTACTCATAAGAATTTTTCTTAGGGAGATGCCTCCTGTGAATCAAGTGAGTAGGATTTATAATTGAAGGAGTGCAATAAAGATATCAATAGATGCAGCAGGTTGATTCATCTGACAGTTTATTATAATAGATCATTTGATCTTACCACCCTGCTGGGTGAACTTAAGCTCATACTACTTTATGGATTTTTTTTGTTGTTTAGGTCACAGAATAAAAAGCTACAATACTTGCAGTTTCTCAGATGTATTTAGACTCTGACTGATCCATTAAATCTCCTATTTTTCATTAATTAAACAAAAGGAGAAAATTAAATATTAGCAAGCAATCCTCTGTGGAGGTGGAGAATGAGTAGGAGGTATATTATACATGACAGCCAAAGTTAAAGTTAAAGAAGTGTATGTGTCAATGGCTGCATGCAGGTTGTTCTGTTTGCTAAAACCAGTCCCTATTGCCTTCTCTAGCCTGGGTGAGCACTATGCAGCTCCTCCTCCATGGCTGGTGGTTTCAATCTTCTTTAATACAGCAATAGTGTTCTCTGATGTTTCTCCAAGTTCTTTCCTAGGCTCCCCCACTCATTTCAGTCGCTCTCCAGCTCTCTGTGGCACTCCTCCCACACCCTGATCTTTTGATATGGCTGATTGGAAATTTCTCTTCAAAATGTGCTTTTTTCTTTTTCTGCAGCAAGAAAGGAAATTTTCACCAAAATGGCATTTTTTTTAAAAATGGAAAATGGTCTCAAAATTAAATATATTCTTTAGCATTGAGGTTAGCCAGCTGAATTATTTTGGTTGAGCATACCAAATAGAAACATTCTGTTCTGGATCAATTTCACATGAGTTTGTCTTCCCCTGATCTCCCACGCAGAAGCTGTGGCTTGGGTGCCTTCAGCTTCAAGATCTGCTATCCCCTATGGGCTGCAGCGCCAGCCCCACTGCACATACCAGTGTCTGCTCTGGTGAACAAAATGTATACAGCCCCTACAGAAGGCCCCAAACGTGAAATTTCAAAGAGCTGGGAAGAACTAATCTAATGGCAGCAAGAGAGTCAGCATTTCTTCTAATCTCAGCACAGAATGAAACAACTGGCTTCACACTTGCATTGCTTTAAAAGTTATTAGGGTGCAGCATATGGCTTCCCTTGGCCCAGATCGATTGCACATAGGAGAAGAAATCTGTTTAGAGGGAAACAAAACATTTTTTCTTAAAGTCTTTAACATATACAGAGAATAAGGGAGCAAGGGTGCACCCATTTCGGATAAGCTACCTAACTCATCAGGTGAGTAGTGGGATTTCTTGCATATTTAAGCTCCAAGAAAGAAGCGAGGAGCTGGTGCTGTGAGGAGACAGGAAAGGTGTAAGCATGGAAATCCTGGTTCAGTAGGAGGTGATTCTGAAATGGCTGTTTTATGGGAACTCAGAGTACTGGCTATGCCAAGCACCTAGACTGACTCCTTCGTATTATTATAATACCTTTTTGCATGCTTCTAAGCATTTCAGTGCATACTGAGCATATGCTATTACTCCACTTTTATATGCAATCCTATCCTCTATGAGGAAAAAAAAATCACGGTACACGCTCATGCTTATCTCCCACAAACACAATCCAGAGGTTGTAAAAAGTCTTGTATCCCTTGGGGCATGTTAAACATTAATAATAATTGGGATATGCAAACAAAGTCAGTGTCCTTATTGGATTTACACACATGTAGCTGAAAGCAAGTATTGAGTGAAGTGAAGGCTCAGAGACCTTAAGAAAACCTGAATAAGTGGTTCTTCAAAATCTAGGAAAGTTAAGACAGCTAGAAGCATAATAAATGATCACTCATATGACCTGGCATCTACGTTCACCACAGTGTTGCTTAGTGGATAAATACACCAAAACACACCCATAAAAACAACAAAACTAGACTGGAGCTGGGAAGGATTAATATATTTCTGACCCTGCATGTGACCATGTTGTACTTTGAACAATGTAATTTAATTGGTAATATGCATTAACTTGCCCTCCAGATTTATTAACAATTGTAAAAATTATAGCTGTTTTCTCCTTTGTCTCCTTTGCGTTGCAGCCAGAGAATTTATCTTCATGACCTCCTCTGGCAGTCAATGCTACACAATGACCACATACAGCTTGTGTAAAGATTGCTATTGTCTTTTGTAATTTATATCCTCCTGTAATGACACTGTGTATCCCAACTGAATGTTTTGAAGTTCACCCATCACTCATCATAACTTCATAGCTAGATGACATGGACACAGCGTACCCTGCATGAATAAGGAGGTGGCCCTCATTTCAGGGCAATGCACAACAAATGAAAAAGAGATCTGAAATTATTTGCATCTTTTTAAGTGTTTGTAAAGGAAAATAGATTGTATGTTTCCAAGACTTACTTGAGGTTCCAGGAGCAGGAGTGGTGTTTTGTAGAGAGTTTCTAGAAGAAAAAGATGATCCCTCAGTAGATGAAGCACTCAAACTCTCATTTTGTGCCAATTGTGTTGTACTTGCTTGTGTAGCTGGAAATGAGACAGATGTTCAGGTAAGGTACACTGTAAAAGCATTGTCTTAGATCCTGGACCACCCCTCAGACAAAGGCTCCCACTATCACAGAAGAGACTTAAGGTCAGAAAGTGCTACAGCTTCTGGTAACTGCTTGTCAAGAGACAAACCATCCCTGTGGAGTTGTTACTACTGGCATAGTTGAGACATCTTTAAAGCACATCCTAGCATCAGAAACAGCCTCACATCTGTGCCGGAAGACAGCCTAGAGCTCTGACCCGGGAGCCCAGAATAACTAGACAGTCTTGCACCAAGAGCAATATGAGCAGAAAAGAGAAGCTCGCTTACTGCCCTCTGTCTTTAACCTTCATTTAATAAATAAATAAAAAAACCCCCACAACCAAACCAAGCTTCAGCCACAACTATCACATAATGGGATATTGTAAAAAGTTTTAGGGATTGTAAATAAGTGCAGAGTTAATTATTTCATTCTGTGCTGTTAAAGCCTAGGAAATAATATATCCCTGAAAATTAATTTACAAAAAATTAAAGTGTCTTATTTCTGCTCTCACACAGTCAATAGAGGATCAAAGCCATCTGTGTCACAAGATTTGCAGTGTAAGGTGAGTCCAAAATGATGGTGCAGGGCACCGCCTGAGCTTGTGGAACTCAAGGTCACTGAATGACAAGAAGAAAGAATTTAAGCTGTTCCAGCACAGCTGATAATTCCTGCGTCTACGCTCAAACCTCACCATAACAACAGGCAAGAGAGTGCCTACTGAATAAAACATAGGGGTGCCCAAGAGTAACCTTATACTTCCTTTCCGATATAAATCAGAGATACGACTGAGCCATAAACAGTTTTCAGTGCCTCTTCATATGAATTTCAAACACTGGAACTAAAACAACTTTAAGACATGTTTTACTCAAACAAGTGCAACGTCATGCACACGCAACATGTGAATCTTGAGGAATGCTTCATCACACGGTTTATTCAGAAACTCTGATTACCAGTTTGGCTCCTCAAAGAACTCTTTTCTCAGGAAAAAAAAAACAAACACCCTAATTCAACGACCACACACACCTTTAACTTGGCCTGGCCCTCCCCTTCTCCTTTTGTTTAAGTGCAATACCTTGGAGAGGCAAGCTTCAAAACTCAAAGAGCTAAGAAAGAGTGAGCTGAAACCGCTAGAGCCAGGGGATTCCTACAACTTTGGGAACTGAGAGGAGCTGGACAGCCAGGAATGGTATCTTTGAAGGTCGAGGCATGGAAGGAAACTCTACTGAAAATCACACAAAACAAGCTTAAATGCCTAAGACTTTCACTGAGATTCTAGTGATGAGAAGCATAATTTCACTGTCAGCTCCCTCCAAAAACTTCAGCATTTTACCCCTCTAATATGCAAGCCTAATCTGCAGTAGAGGTGAGTGTAAAAAGCCCTTCTATCTCATTTTTTACTATGGTATAATGCAAGGATCTGACAACTTTAATAATTCCTGCATTCTCATCATAGAAGCCTTGAATGAATCTTTAAAAACAAACTTTTTCCACTTTTGCTTCTTACTGTGGTTGCTTCAGACTCAAATTCTAAATGTTGAATTTTAATCTGAGGTCAATTAAAAAAAAAAAGCAAAGCCCCAAAGAACCTCCCTCTCCCTTTAAGATGCATGGGCTTGTGACAGTAACAGCAACCATCTTGTGGCTCCCTTATCGTAAGATAGCAAAAGCTTGCATGGGAGAAAGAAAAGTAAAGCAGAATAACAGTAAGCCTTCCTGTGCAGAGAGAGTCGAACACAAATACACTTTGTGAACACTGCAAAACAATCAGGTGTGTGGGAGAGATGAGGAGGGAGGCAGCCAGTTGCCTTATAACCCCATGGAGAGCTGTTTTCCCATGGGGATCACATGTTCCAGGCGTCCTATCAGTCCTGGCAGCAGCCCAGCCCCGGGTGCTCCTCTTGTGTTTGGGAGCTGCAAGAACAGATTGTTCTCGGGAACACGCGCTGTGCACTGGATACGCCTCGGTGGGGAATCAGGAGAGGAGGGATGACAGCGTTTCCATTTAATTTTTTTTTAATTCAGCCTGGGTGAGATTCTTCCTGTGACTTGGGTAGCACCAGATATGGCTCACACCTTTACCTAGGGCTTGGCGTGAAGCTTGTTGCATTTATTTCGGCAGACTGCAGAACAGGCTCCCCGCTCCTGGTGTGAAGGGGTGAAGTAGACGTGCTACGGTGCAAAAGTCTGTGTGACAGTTTTCACCACTTCCAAGGGAAAAACCATAACCTGGCGGGGAAGGTTCCCTTAATTCCACTGTACTACTGTAAGATTAAATCCTAGCAACCCAATTCTCTGCTGATTTGCGGCTTTGAAGTGGCTTTTAAGCAGCATCCAAGCCTTACGCCTAATACACAGCATAGGCTCTACCATCAACACATTCAGCAGATCGAATAGCTTCTGTGCCAAAAGCCTATGGGAACAGAAGCATCCATATCCAGCCACTGCTCACGTACACGATGGCAGCACTGACAGCACAGCACGCCTGCTAGAAATCTGTTTTTTTCGGTAAATCCCATAACTCATATCTATGCAAGGTTGAATTTGATCTCAACGGGAGGAGACAGCACAAGCCCTTACTGCTGTGCCCGTGATCTGCGTGGGAACAGGCGGGGGACTCTGCGCGGGCACATGGTGACTCAGTTCTGCCGTCCCCACTGACACATCGCTGCAGTAATTCATCACGCTTCGGCTTAGCCAGCTGCAGCAAAGATTTCTGCCTGCCTGGCAGGGGGAGTCCTGGGCTCGCAGAAAAGCAGCACAGCAGAGGAGGGTGGCTGCTGCTGCTACTGCAAAAGCACTCACATCATCGGTTAATGGGCTTGTTGTCAACAGCTGATTATGAATAAAAATGGTAAAGCAGTAAAGATTGTAAAATAGCTGTCCGAATGGGGCTGCTTGCTGCAGCGGCAGAACTCCCTGGTGGTGATGCAGCTCTCCCCGCTGATATTTTGATAAGATAAATGACAGTGTGTTAACATGTATTTGTCAAAGGGATAATCAACAACAGGGAACCTGAAGCTGCTCTGCAAAGCTGCTGTCTGAGCTTCAGCTATTTCCTCACTCTCTGTGCTCTGAAAACCCTTCATTTTCTTTAACCAGCTGAAATTCGACACATATCCTCACTTGATCTTAGCATCATTTTCTACTTAACCTACGTATAATCCACATATATTTTGGTATTTCCCAACAGTATTTTAGATTTTCTTTGCAGCAGGCTGTTACCTAGCTAGCTTTGACATCATAAGATGCTTCAAGTGGCAAATACTCTACATATACTCTATGCACTGCAAAGAATATAGACATCTGTACATGTGTTAAAACCTTACGTGGCCAAGCAATGAATGAAGGAAACACCTTTATAGGGCGGAAGGAACTGCACCCAAACCACGTTAAAAAGCCATCACAAGGGCTTTGCCAGATGGAAGACTAAACCTTCTCCCTTGAGCTCGTATCTTTAGCATAAACATACATATAGGCCTCGCCCCTGTAATAAATAGCCTGAGAAACCATTTCCATTAACAAATGCATTCATGAAAGCTTTGAAAAATCCCAGTGTAGCAAAACCAATGCAACTTCACGCCCGTTCAGAGGAATGGAAATTGGCTAGGGAGGTAACCAAGCAGATCTCAGTTTCAATATTTACACCCATAGCTGATTGCATTTGCTGTCTGCCAGCTTTACATTTTCTGGTAAGCAAAAACCCCCAAGTATTTCAAAATATATGTTTTAAAACATCTCTCTGCCTAACATGTCTCAGCAGCCAACTATACTCAGTGTTTACTTATAGCATGTAGTAACAACGTGAGGGCAATTGAACAACACGTTACCATAACCTTCTTCCAGTAGTTTTACTGAAGTAAAGCTTCCTACTTAATTATCAGTAGTTTGATAAAAAAAAGTATCTCCTCCACTCTTTCCTTTTCTCATTTTTTAATATTTAATATTTCATTGCACCATGATGTATTATCATCCAGGAGAGTGGCATGAGATAAATTAGAAACACAACAGCCAAAAATTGACTCTTACTTGTAATTTAATACCTTGAGCACTGACCTTGCATAAGATGCTTGCTCCGTATCCAAGGGAGGAAGAACATAATCTTTTGTTGCATTTCATTTCATATTCTCTTTGATAACTCCAAGTGTCCCAGGATATGAAATCCTGATTGCAGATGTAACTTGCTGTAGCATGGCACCGTACAAATTCTTGTTTTGGGGCCTGGACTGCACAAGTGAGGTCACTCTTTTGACTAAACGTGAGCTATTAGATTTGACCCCTTAAATTAATAAGTAAGGTTAAGGAGATAAGTCTAATTGCTGGCTTCCAATTTAATAAACAGGGCAGGAGGGCAAAGAGGGAGAGATTGTACTTATGGCCTGCAGAGGAAAAGAATACTGAAGACTTTAAAAAAAAGTAATCTGCATGATTTCATAGCCTGTGGAGCATTGGGGGCTTTTCCTGAAATTATAATAAAAGGTGACAGCAGCCACAGAAATTGCAGTGGAGATGGGAAGCCCTGTCAAATCTCTGCTGTGTGGATGCATTAATTCACTGAAGCTTTTAGCAGGGATTAAAGCAGAGAAAGCGATGGCCTCCATTACAAAACAACAGAGGCACCTGCTTTTTATCAAAAATCAGGGGTAGTAAAGGTAAATTTTGAAGTGTCATAAAAGCACCACCAATTTCTGCCTCCGTCCCATACGGCCAGCCCAAAAAGGGGGAGGAGTGAGCGCTAGTGAAAAAGAAAAAGAGAGTAGACAACTTTCTCTTCCTTTCCATTTTGAGAGCAGAAGTCTTGCTACACCTGCGCTCGCTTCAGGGAGCACAACTGCCCCAGCCCTGTGCTGCTGCTGGGGATGCTGGCAGGAGCTGGGAGGGTGCAGTGAAGCCGACAGCACCTTGCCGAGCCAATGCGTGGGGTGGAAACAGAGAGATGGCTGTAGCCAGCAGCCAGATGGTGGTCGAGGGGTCTGTGGGTTTTCTACAAGGGCTGGCCTACACATCTGCACAGCCCCTGTGCCCTGTCCCAAAGCCACTACCTTGTGTCCCATCCCACTCCTTTGTGCTGAAGACAAGGCTATGACTTTCTTGAAAGGCAGACCAGAATTTTGTCTTAAAACCCACTAACTGGTTTTCACATACACAGTTTTTCCAAATACTACTTAGTGTTGAAAGAAAATATAGTGTCTTTTAATGCAGGGCAGTTCCCAATGTCATCTTTAATTTTACAAAGGGGAGCGAGAGGCAGGTAAGCCCTGTTTTTAGGTTCATTTATCAATCATTTTTATCAGAAGTTTTTTGGTTTGTTTTTTTTTTTAGCTTAAACAAGGATTTTTAAAAACAAATCACAACCCGAGCAGCTAGGGACTGAACTCTAGCTGGTCAAAAGAGAACACAAAGAGGAATTGAAAGGAGGCATGTTGGTGAAAACTTCACACCCAGGCCCATTGTACCTCCAGCACCAGTTTTTTGGGGCATCAGTGCAGAGCAGTGGCCGGAGCTAAGCTGAACTGGCAGGTATGCCTTTCCTTGTTAGCTTTCCTTTCCCTGCTGGGAGCTCTACCTGTCACCAAAGTTTATTTCCAGGTGGCTGTGCTGCTCTGGTACCCGCAAGCCAGGAACCTCCGCCAAGCCAGAAGGACTAGGAATCACATCTGTGATGTGATGCACCATGCCACGGGCTTTTGACAGGCCCACAGGGTCACAAATGCAAGCTTAAAAAGATTCTTTCTGGCCTTCAGTATCACTTCAGCAGCTTGTGCGTCGACCAGACTGTATCCTGTGACTCACCGATACTGGCATTTAAAAGCCAAGGCAAAACACAAAAGACTTCAGGCTGACAATCAGACTACTTCCCTTTCCAAGCACAGAGGCAAAGCTGCATCAGGAGAAGATGTAACCACTAGAGTGAAAGGGTAATTGCTCTCCAGGCAGCTTAGCAGGCTTGGGTCCATGAGGGGTAGCTTTAAAGGAGAATTTGCATAGAGAAAGCACACAGGCCATTTCAATAGGAGTCCCTTTTTAGGCAAGGAAACCAAGGGAAGTTCTAATCATTTGTCTCAGCTCAGTATGCTCTAAATACCAACTCTGAGAACACTGGTGTACCACTGACTGCCGAGCTAAATATCTGGAGTATTTCTTTTTAATTTTTTGAGTCAATTAAGTATAAAAATTGGAGTATTTCAAAGCTCTTGTTCAGCAAAAGACTTCAGCAAATATTTACAGTGTAGTTCAGACACAGAAGGGAGAATGAATTTCATCTTAAGTTTACTGAGCTCCTTCTGGATGTTATCATACTTGTTTAAATTAATCCAGCTACTTGCTGGATACATGGGATATTTTTTTTTTTTAAATTTTCTTTTTCTACAATCCAATCTGATGTGCTGGGCCAAAACACATGTTATTCTGAAGATTTTTGGGGAACAAAAGTATTTCCCAAGATTGATGCAGGGTAATTAGTACCACCTCTCTGCTTTCAGTACTGTGACTCATAATAATATAGAACATAATTAACTGTAGCATTGTAACATATATAAAAATAAAAAACAAAGGCTGTTCTGACACCACTCTGATCATATAGAATAATTTATTTTTGATGAAATAATTATTAAAAAAACCCAGAAGAAAATAAAAAATGAAAATGCTTCCAAATACATCTCTCCCAATTACAGGGAGATTCAAATCCTGTGTAATGGCTTCAGATCACCTCCACTACAAATTAAAGGTATAATATTCTTTGTGTAAGACTCTAGGGCAAGATTCATTAAAGATACGTAATATGTTAGGATGAATAGCTCTGCTTCCCCAAAACTCCAAATCCATAACCCAAACTATTCTTTTTGACCTCCTTTTGTTGTTGCAGTGTTTTACAGAAATGTAGCATACAATAACTCAGAAATCTCTCAATTAAATTATCACTTACTCTTTTTTGTGCTGCCACTTTTAGCTGCTGCTGTAGTGATCACTTTTACTGGTGGTTGTGGTGGTGTACTTTGTGTTATTTGTTGTGCAGTATTAGGCGAAGAAGGCATGGAATCTAATAAAGGAACAACATTCAAATTATTTCCGCAATTTTGTATACACACATATGCACACACACAAAACACACCTATTGCCCTGCTTGCAGCCTAGTTTTAAATTATCAAAAGAATATTTCATTTAAGTTGAAGATCAACAGGGACAGGGCTCCCTTCACTGCAGAGAAAGACATTCCCTGTCCCATAGGTGGGTCACCCCCTTGATAACAAGCCTGTGATAACACAGTCACAAGGCCTGGTTTGGAGCTGCCTTGACCCTGACCAGGAGGAAGCTCCTGTGCACACCTGCAAGATTTCAACAAAGAGTTCACTATATGTAAAACAAATTCTCAAGCCAAGAGGCACAGCTGCTTAATTTCCTGAAGAACCACTGGAACAGCATCAACAATTAGCTCAAAGAAATGTTCACTTACTGTTTGCAATGGATTCTTTTGTAGTTCTGATTGCAGTTGTTGTCAGCACTGACGCTCGCGATGGTGTTACTTGTGAAGCCGACACGTTCACAGATTCCGTTACTGCAAGGCAGGCATTCACATCTTTACTGATTTATTTTATCATGCATAAATAAACATCACGTACATCTAGCTGCCGTCTCTCACAAAGGCAGTGATTTTCTGTTTAAAGTCTGGCCCTTACAGAGCTTTTTTACCTACATGTTTTTAAAGAGGATTCAAAGTACATATGGTTGGTATCAGAGGGAAGGTTTGGCCTGTGGGCAATCCACAAGTTGTCCACTGAGAGTTAGCAGCTGTAGCTTCCAGCCATCTCCTAAGGAAGAGGCATATGCTCTTTGGGAGTTATACAGAGGGGCCTGGCATGACTGCCAAGGGAAATGGTGAGGGGAAAGGAGCCTGGTGTGGATGGATGGGTTCAATGTGCTGCCAGACTGGACTGCTGACTAGCACTTTGCTGCATACCTGTTTAATAGGAGGAGGGAGGTAAACTCCCCAGAAAGAAGTGAGAGACACACACAGGAAGAGAGCTTATATATTACAGGTAAAGAACTGAAGGGGAGGAGACCCTAAGAGTCCTTGTGCAATTTTTTACTCTTCTCTCTGCTGTCCACCTTGAGCCCCAGTTGAGTCATCTTCTCTGGCTAGCTTTCCCAGACCCTCTTCCTCTGCACCCAGATTTCTGGGGAAAAAAGAGCACCTGGCAGGCCTTCATCCGAGGTGTGCAGCAAAGCTTAGGACTTCTTGGATGAGATGAATAAGTGATATTCCCCAGGGTGAACTTGGTGCCCTTTGTAAGGTGGCTTCCGGTAGTTCTCTTCTCCAGAGGGGTGAGATTTGGAGGCTGAGGGGAGGGGAAAGGGCTCCCTTGGGCAGCAGGGACCACTTCCAGCTGCTGCTGGTACGGAAAGAGGGGAGCAGAGTTGCCCAAACATCACTAAGGCAATAGCAAGGTTTAAATCAGTGTGTCTTGCTGTGCATGGATGGCATACTGCAGGTCCTACGTGCCCCTGGCACATGCTCAACGGAACAGACTGGACAAATTACTGCTGAGGGATCTGGACTAAAAAAACCCATAACTAATCATTTTAAGAGCCCAGTTTTCAATCCTGTAATCTAATACAAACAGAAAGTGCTACTGTCAGCTACAGAAGCTCATTTCAATCCCTGACAACAACCCAATGTGTCCTACTACCTCTTCTAGCACTTTTCATGGATGGGAAACATGACAGAATAGGAACAAATCATGACATGACATGTCATTTTCCCTCATATGACTTGAGTTCTTCTAAATGCAATGTTCACACCAGAACTTTTAAAATATAACTTATACTCTCTTCCTCCACTCTCAGTTTGCTGGCTGTTCACCTAGAATAGCAGCGCCTCAAAGAATGAACCTCCCTGGGAGCTTGCTCCACACCCACAAAGTGCTTTAATCTCATAGTGGGCTTCTGGTGCTTTTCTCATAGGCATAAATAACAATACTGCTTTCTCTTCTGTGACAAAAAGCTGCAAGAGAGGTTTCAGTGAAACATTTGAAGAGCTCATTCACTGTGAGGTGCTGGGCCTTTATTAAATGTCCTTGAAACAGACATGAGCATCATGGGTTTTGAAACATAAAAGAACTGCCACACAATTTAGGGACTAACTCTTCTGCTGTAAGAAACATAACATATGCATACTTCTCCTGGCTGCATCTTACTCATCTCCATTACTAGCACTTCAAGTATATACATCATTATCATCTCAGTGCTTTCAGCTCCAAAACAGACTCATTAGCATCTCTAGTTATCAAAAAATATAATCCTGTGTCCAAGTTTTCTTCTCTCATCGCTTATTAAATGCATCAGTCTTCAATATTCAAACTAATAGAGGAGTTGATATTTAGCTCACATGAATGAAATATGGTCAACGCTGATTTTTCATAACTACAAAGCCACAAAATAGAGAGAACTGAATGTGTCAGTTGAAGATATAAACCAGAATCACAGACTTTTACTGTATGAAGCAGGTATTTTCTGTGTTAAGTCTTCATAGTTCTAGGACTTTAAGTTTGATCTAGTAAAAAAAAAAATCGCACACAAAAAAGAGAAAGAATGCAGCTTTTGAAACTGAGGGCACTGAACCACTCCTTGAGAGCATAGGAACTCACAGAATTTCAGCCTTTTTCACCTGAAATAAAAAATGCAGCCTGCTCAAATTAACCCTCTCCTTACTAAGATCCCTCAGTCCTTTCTTCTTAACAGACTTTTATAAGAGGCCCAGGGAAATACGTTGCTCTACAATCACCCTACATGAAATAATTCACTTAATTTCTCCCAGAAGTTGGAAAAGGTGAAAGCTAGAAAGGCCATGGGAGCTTCAGAATACCAGATAACAGTGAATTTGAACACTTACCAGATTGTGATGTTGATGCAGGACCGGTTGCATTGACATTACTGTTCTGAACAGCACATTCTGAAATAAACACAGAAAGAATCATATTACTTCAGCCACCTTCCAGATCTGTTTAGCACTACATAGGCATATAAGGCAGAGAGCAGCAAAGACCTTCCTGGAAAATCAAGTTCAGAAGCCTATTAGCAGAAGCAACCAAATCATACAACTCTGCTAGCAATCTTTTCAAGCTGTATCCTAAATCTCTTAGCTTTGCCCTCACTGCTGTAATGGGGAGCATCTTCTATGGCCTCCCCCCTTGGACTGCAGGTTGTTTTCCAACAGGTATTAGTGTCTCTAAGACTAGTTTGCAAAAAAACCTGGAGCAATTAAAGTTTTTTTGGTAGCTCCTCTTCTTGAGTACAACCACAGTTGCTCTGGATGTTCAGGGTGGAGGATTAACTAAAATAACTGGCTGCAGGAGTAAGTACCCATTCTCCTACCTTGGCTAGTACAAGCACTTCAGGAGGGGCTTTCAGCATCACCCTGATCCCTATATGTGAGGGGAATAGGAGAATTCACAGAACATGGCTCAGGAAGCACTGAGTAATGACTGACTTTCCCCACTGCCGTCAAGGCAGTGCTCCAGCTATTGGGAGTTTACTGCAGTAAATTATGCTAGTCTTAAGAATCCTAGGTCAAGTGAGCAGGTGAAAGTCTACAATATTATTTTTTTTAAATTGGCCCCCCCCCCCCCCCCCCCCCCCCACCAAACCAAAAGCAAAATAATTTCTGTATCTCCTGACTGTGCTGAAAAGTAGTAACAGCATAACTCAAGTAGAGTTTTGGCTTCAAATAAGATTTTCTCTCATTTCTGGGGTGTCCATATTTTTCTACTAAAAGTTAAGGGAGTGATGAAGGGCGTGAAAAAAACTACGTTGAGTCAGAAACAGTGGCATTTCACAACCATTTACACCGCTGTGAGACAAGGATGGGCACATTTGGGGAGGAAGAGGTCAGCTCTGCGACTGAATGGGAGAGCAAAATGGTACAGACTAATCCTCCAGCGCTTTCAGGTTTGGACCGTGACATCCTGTCAAGCTGCATTAGCATGCTGTAATATAGATATCGCAAAACTGAGTCAGGACATCATGTCACTATTCTTGTGTGACTCCATTCATGGCAATATCTGCTGGCAGTCTCTCTTTTTTTGGCTACAGGGCAGAACAGTCAGCTTTGTTCCCTTTGCTCAGTGTGCTACCCTCCGATTAACATTTCATGAGCACTACCCGAGGCCTGCCAGAGTCACAAATCTAACCTGGAAAAAAGAGAAACCATAATACAATTGCAGGAGTTCTACAGGCACATATTAAGGCCTAGTCAGATGAGCCCTTACAACTCCTTTTCAAGCAGTGTAAGGTGTTATCAGCCCTCTTGGCACCTGCACATTTCTAACGGGCATCATTTGGGTTGTTGCCCCTTCCCAGTGAGCCCCACCCTCCTGGGCATCTCTTCTAGGTACACTGCTGCCTTCGCAATGCCTCGTCACAGCAGGTGCTGGCCCATTTTGATATGGGTATATGCCATATCAAATTAAATCAGTTCCCTATGGGCCTGATGCTGCCCCAGCCCTACTCCCCAGGTCACATGAATAGTCAGGCTATGCACAGCCCTTTGGCCAGTGCATTAAAAATACTGTTTTTCCTGCCATTTAGTTACCTAGTCAGAATAATTCTTTGTAATCCACACTTGAAATAGTTTGAAAACAAATTTTATCCAAATAGACCAAAAAGCAATCTTGTTTCCCTAAACAACGAGCATTTTTACATCTCTTTATTCTCATTATGAGCTGCTGACAAAGCTCCTGTAAATCATAGAATCCTAGAACTGTTTAGGTTGGGAAAGACCTTTAAGATCATCCAGTCCAACCATTAACCTAACATTACCAAGTCCACACTAAACTAATCCCCATGCCACGAGGTCACAGCACTAAACCAGAATGTTTTTTCAACAGTGCCTACATTTCATATGGTTTGTTATAACATCTCTCAGTAACTACCATATCTGTAACACCAGCTAAATGCACTAGCTGGCCAATTAGCTCATTCCCTAACTCTTCCCTTAACTCAGCATGCCTTTGTGGAAAGCCCACTGCAATACTTATATTATTCACCCTTTAAAGGTGTTCCATTTAATAACCATGATGATAGGCCGAGATTTCCTCAAAACTAAAAAAATTGAGAATTTAAGTCACAGTTTTGTTATGAGTCACAGTTTGCAGATTTTATCACAGGCTAGAGATAAACTAAGGTAAATTTGATTAGCAGAGTAGAATAAAGTGGAGTTCTATGAATTAATTGTTTTCTTAAAATGGTGGATAATTAAGTATACTTTAAAAACAAGTTGAAAGCAACACGCAAAAATGCTTAAAACTAGCCAGGATTTCAGGGGGAATTGGTTGATTAAAAGAAGCGACAGAACTGGTGGCTTATTATGCTCTTATTTGCAATGTTAAGTTGTGACTAAGAAGAATCCTATGGGGGATAAAAGCAAAAGATCAAAAATTATTGAGAAAAGGACTTTGGCCCATTAGAGGCTGTTGCTAGACAAAGAGAGAGACACAAAGATTAATTTTTCTGCTAGTGTCAGGTTGGCTGCAGCTTGAGATGACAGACAACCAATTAAGTTACAATGGCATGTTTTTTTGGCAAATTTAGATGCAGTCACCCCATTGATATGAGAGCACCTCGATGTATTCTGACTTGGGAGCCGCCAAAATCTACTCGGCAACTGCTCCCACACACAAACCTCTCCCATTTGCCGTGCTCCCTGGCAATAAACTCGGACAAAAGAGCGTAGGTGACTGGTGATGTAGCACCCTTGGGTCTGGAGAACATGTGCAGAGCTAAAAGGTGCTCAGATGTGACACTGGGCTGAATAAAGGGATGATGGTCATGGTGGTCAGATCCACCCCCCTTTCTAAAAGCAGATAACAAGGCGAGAAGAAATCAGAACTGGGAGAAAGATAACAGGACAAGAAGAAGATGAGAGGGGAAGGGCAGGAAGGCCCAGAGATGGTAAGACAATAAGGGTGGCAGGGAAAGATAAGGAGGAATTAAGAAGAGCTTGAAAAACATTTGACCCATGATCACAAGGCCAAAATGAAAAAAAGAGAAACTGTTGTTTTGTTTGTTTTTTTTTTCCTTCAGGTTCACAGAATTTCCCTTTATTGTCCTTTCTGTCTTGGATTTAAATGGCATATTTGTTCTAAAATTAAAGCAACAGTGAAATAATTTGTATCTGGTCTTCAGCCATGATTTTGAAATGAATGAACTCAAACACTGAACTTACTTTCTTTTTTAAAATTCAGAAGGAGTTCCTGAATTCAGCCAGGGCTGACCAACAGCCGCAGTTGTTCTCAAACTGCAGCTTTTGATGTGGGCTCCAGCCTCCAAGGTCTCATCTTGGAGCTCTCATAATTTCTTCCCTCTCTCTCACTCATTATTTTTACCTTTACACTGGGAAGACTAAGATAAGCGGGTTTTGACTTTGTGTTAATTAGGTGCCTGTCATTGCTATAATCAAGACAGAAAGAAAAGCAGAAATGACTGTGCAAGATTACATCAGTAGTTCTGTTTGTACACTACAAGATACTACAGGGCACAAACCACTAAGTTTAAAACACCACATGAAACAGCTCATACAAAAGTGAATGCCAAGAAGTCAAAACAAAAACGTTCTTAAAGATTAAGAGATTGTTCAAAATATATATTGATTATATTCATTACATGAATTACTGAATTTAAATGCTGTCAGTTTTGGCATCAATATCTGATTTTGAAAATAATTCTTTTTATGGAAAAGTCACTATCACTACAGAACTAGTTAGTGAAACGGCCCGTTTGACATTTTTTTCACTTGACCTTGCACTAGGTAGACAGGACCATAGGTTCATATTAAAATTCCTCCATTCACATGAGCACTGGTGAGGCTACAGCTGAAGTACTTGGTCCGGCTTTGGAAAGGTATTGAGAAGGTTGTGGATGCCTGGAGCAGGGCTTAATGGAGAACCATAAAAATCATCAGGAGTCTAGAAAAAAATGACCTCTCGGGAAGGATTGCAAAAATTGCATTTGTTTAGCCCAGAGAAGGAAAGATTAATAAAGGCATGAGACCAGCACTCAAGGAGGTGAGGGGCTGCAACAAAGACACAGGAATAAACTTCTCATTAGGTCCACTGAGGATGAAACTAGAGGTGATGTACAAGGGAAATTTGGACTAGAAACTTTGCAGGTTTTTAGGTACCTGTGTCAAGCTGATGTCGTAACAGCCACAAGCTAGTGTTTTAACCATTTTCCTGATGAGGATGTAAAATATTCCCATTCAAAAACCAGAATACCCAAAAGGCTGTAGCTGGGAGCAATTACCAAAGAGGTGTCCTGAGGAAACCTGTACATGTTAAGTCCCTGCTTCAAGGCTATAAAGTAGAACCTACAGGTGGCATTGTTATATTATGGGGTTTTATTCTATATTATGTTATATTATGGTTTTTAATTGTATATTATGTTATATTATGGTTTTTTTTATTGTATATTATGTTGTATTATGTTTGTTTGTGTGACCCTGGGCCTTTGCAATTATACTCAACTCATGGAAAAGTAGAAGTTGCTTTCTGTCTTTCCACACCATGAGAAATAAATAGTGATCTTTTTCGAGGAAGCAAATGATAATTCTGCCAGCCCCCACAACCATGATAGAGCCTCCTCTAACAGCTGCTCCAGCAGTAACTGTGGGAAGACTGTACACTTCATCTGACATTTTGTCCTTTCTGGAGAAAGTTATAGCTGTCCTTGTGAGAAAAGCTGGTACTGATATTCTCAGAGTTCCCAATAAATAGCTGCTGCCTGACAATGTAAACAACCTGATTACTCTTACCTTGGAGCTCTGTTGTCTATTATGTTTTCTTTTTCATTCTCATTTATTGCTGCTTCATTGCTTCATTCTCTTATCTGATCTTTCCCCAGGCCCAGTGTAGTTCTCGCACTTCTCTTATTTCTGTTTGTACGCCTCACCCATCTTTC